CTACTTAACCCCCACCACACCAGTAAGCACTGGAAGGGCAGAGAAGAGAGCTGGTGACTGACAGGTGTTGGACTTTGCTTTGTGCTTTCCAAACCTTTGTATGGCAGAACGCCTGGTACCCAGCTTGTGCTTTCCATCAGAGAACTGCTTCCTTGCCAGTGGGACACAGGACCAAGGTATTATAGCTGGGCATTGCACCCAAGACTAGGCAACACTAGCTTGATGCAAACAAACTCTTTATTGAACAGAAAACAGGTTTTTATACAATCCAGAAATAGGGGCAGAGCCCTTACATGAATAATAAAACAAATATTACATCCCACACTGATTAGATAACAAGGTGAAGCTGACATCAGTCTAATCTCATCATGTAGGATCCTCCAAGAGGACTCGCCAACAGGCCCACAATAGGTGACTCAATTAACAATGGGAATGCACACCTAGGAGGCACACAATGGTAGAAAGACACATAACACCTTAATAAACACATTGGCGCAATAGTCCTCACATCAGGTTGTTTTGCTAAGTACATCAATATCTTCTTAGAGTCTCTGAGTCTGGGAAGGAGGGGGTTGTAGTAGTCCGTTCTAGTTTGAGAACTAGAGGACCAACATACAGATTTGGGGTCTCTGTGCCCAGAGTCTGTGTGTTTTGGGGAAACATGAACTTGAATCCCAAGTAAACTACTCCAAAGGTCTCCCCCGGGCACACATTAAAGAATAGATCCCCCTCAGATGCCAGGGCCATGGTCAGTAGGCAAGAGGCTAGCCTGCAGTCCCCTCCAAAAGCCTCTGTCTCTCTTGGGTTTGTCACACTATGTATACTAGACTCCCAGTGCTTTCCAGGTTCAGAGCCGTAGGACTGCTTCTGCTGTGACCCAATCTATGAGATAGTTTCTAGGGAGTAAGGCCAGTGGGACTGAAGCTCTGAGAGCTAACTTACATTTGGTACTGTTACGTTCCCTTTAAAAAATACTTGAAAACCCCCATCTGACCACTGTAGCAGTTAAGGCTGAGGGGAATGGTATTATTCGCTGGGTGGAATGTTGTGCATTCTTCACACTTTTTCTCCCACTATTCAGCCTGGCAAAAGCACCACTTCACTCCTGCTTTTGAAGCACCTCATGGATTATCAGGTCTCTGATTTTGTTTCCGGTGTTCAGTGCCTTTGTCACCCTTATCAGCACTAGCTATTTGGGGTTGGGAATACAGGTGGCCTCCCCTCTGTCCACAAGGCCCCTTATGTTCACAGGGTCCCTTTTATAATCACTTTGGGTTTTTGTCACTTTTTTGCACCAATAGTGGTGCAATCTGCTTGAAAAATCTACAGTATAAGCAAACTCTGGGTCCTTACAGTTTACTCCATATGACTCTAGTCCTAATGACTGATTTACAAGTGATTTCTAACCTGATTGATTCCCTCTACCCTGCTGTTCTAAGCCGAAGATCTTTTCGACATTAAGTCCTTTTCCATTCTCTGTAAGGTAAATATTTTTAGTGCTAGCATTAGGATTCCTACCTTTTTTTTTTTTTAACTTTTTTTTTTTTTTTTTTTTATACAGGGAAAGGTTGCATGATTCCCATAATTGTAGATCTAATTAACTGATTTGAAAGGTTTGCACTGTGGATACTATTGAAACACTTATGGGTATTGGTTGGAAGGACTCCTTCCCATTCTTCTGTTAATTGTAACAGCCTGGGAATGAAAGCTCGGAGACCAAGTAACAAAATAGTCACGTCCAGCTTCGTTCACTGCAGAGGAGATCAAGTAACAGATGTCCCTTGGTCTTCTCCCACTCACCATTCTAAAGTCCTATGATGTGGTACCAGGAAGAGTGGGAAAGCCCAGTAACCAAGCAGTGGGGGGGTGCTGCCATGAGTTTTTTAGGCTTTTCCATTTAATTTCATCTGGTGATTCAGCCAGTAAGTCTTTCATGATGCTACACCAGTGGATGGGGGGGCTTGGTAAAAACACGTTTCACTGCCCCGGAAATCACAAATGTAAATGAACCCTTACTGTCCTGAGCCCCCTATAAGCCTGCTTTCAAACTGATGCTCTGCAGTTACCTGGAAAGTTACCTTTTCTAAGCAGCCTGGAGAGTGATGTCAGAAGAAGCTGAAAGTGGAAAAGGTCAGTGTATCAAACCACACATACACTGCGCTTTTTGCAATGGGCATATTAGCAACTATAAAAGGGTTAACAACGATTAGGCTGCTTTCACATTGATCCGCAGGCTAACTGCAGTTTGCCATAGACTTGAATATTGCGAATGGGCGCTTTCTGAAAGCGCACCAAAACTCCTGCATTCAGGAGTCTTTGTGCGCTTTCATAAAGCGCTCCAAACCCGTGGGATATAATAAACGTCTATGGGTCAGTGCAACTATCCTGCAGGGAACCCGCAGGTGCACTGCGCTGCCCCCACGGATCAGTGTGAAAGCAGCCTAATAGTTGTTAACCTTTTTTTAGGCGCTAATATGCCCATTGCAAAAGCGCAGTGCATCTGTTTTTGATGCACTGACCTTTTTCACTGCCAGCTTCTGCTGACAAAGCTCACCAGGCTGCTAGAAAAGTCCCAGGCAAAGTGCACTTGGTATTACTCTGCCTGGAACAGGAGCCAACGCTACAAAGGAAGCATCAGCTTATGCGTCTCTTGCTCTCTCCGTAGCCTCTTCCTTCCTCCTTGGCTCCAGCTCAATGCACTCCAATGCTGTGGGATGATGGCTTGGAAAGCCAAGATCATAATCAGCGGGTTGCCAACCCTGGGTATGTGCTTCTCTGGTTTGCGATTGATGGCCACATGTTGAGTACCCATGGTTTAGACAAACCATTTAACACACCATTTAACACTGACAGAGCTGTTGACAATAGTCCACTTTTATTCCTTTATGTAAAATCTGTATCCCAAAATTAAAAAACAAAACAAAAACTGCTTTAACTGCTTATAAAGTGTTAGCTGGAGTTGAGCTTTAATTTGTTAGTCAAGTCCATCTAAATCTGCTAGTGTGACGCTACCCTCTCCCAGACTGACAATGCTGATGTCCAAAGGTGTCAGCATTAATATTTCAGCCAGAAAGCAGACACCCTTAGACAGAAAGTGTGTTTCTAGTTGGAATGCTAGGCGAAATAAAGGGAGAAAAATATGTAGACACTATATCTAAGGATTGGTAAGCTGCAATATATTAGTATTTGTTTTTGGGTTTAATACTGCTTTAAGGGGATAGGTATGCTAGATGTCGGCCTATTCTGCAGTTCCACTAATGGACATGCCTGTTCCAGTTTTCCCTAAAGCCTGGTACACACATTCAGGTTTTTTTTTTTTTTTAGTTCAACGAAGTGGGTGAAATGGAAAAAAAAAAAAACCTTACAGATCCCTGTAATAACTAAGCAATGTTAGTACAGTGATCTCTCCCTTTGTGCCGTTGTGTTCTGACAGGGAAACTCTAGGCAGAACACATTAATCAGCGTCACAGCCATTGGCTGATCGGATGCTGGTTTTTGGAAGTACAGTTGTACACACAGGGTCCGAATGTTCGATATTCGTACCATTTGTACCCAACTTTAGGGATCTGTCTGCTAGGGCTTGGTCCAATAAACCTTTCTTTTTGTTGACAATAGTTGGTCTAGTTTTCTCGAGTTCCAGTAGTGTGCGAGTCCACCTGTGTCGTGTTTTTCTTCTTTTTTTTTTTTTTTTTTTTTGTGGTTGGTCGGTTCTTCACATCTCGGACTGAGGCACATAACTTATTCAGAATTCAGATTTTCCCTTTATTGGTTATTACTTGTCCTGCATCAGGTTGATCCTCGGTGCCTTTCCCTTGGTCGTGACAATTTCTGTATTCGGTTCCCTCCCCCAAATAGCTGCATTCTAGCGTTTATAACTTCAGAAACTTATACTATGATCTCCACATCTATTGAATGTTTGAATCTTTCACCCAACCCCCCAGTTGGACATATTTTAGATGTCCTCGCTGTTAAGAATCCAGAATGTTCCTGAGTCCCTCAATGGATGATAAAGGAAATAAGACTTTTGTACTAGGCGTATAACCCTTTTATTGAAATCAATTGAGGGACACAGTTTCGCCCATCTGTGGTATTGGCTCTTGTACTGCTTGCTCACAAAACCGAAGCATGGGAGGGAGGGTTTTCTTGGGGCTGACCTAATTTTGTTTTTTGTTTGACAGATTATGAATTTTATTATGCCACTAACCGTAGACATGGGGGGTGCCAAATCTGCTGATGGGGATTCATCATCCTCAAATCCCCTCAGATCCCATCCACTCTAAAAGGTAAAGGGTTGAAAGCCTATTATCAACTAACAATCGGACCCGATGGGAAACCATTTGCATCACATCCACTCAGGCTTTGCTTATCCTGCACACCAACATGTGCCACTACCACTGACTCTTAAGTGGCAGTCTGGCAGACCTGTAGGAAAACGGCCAGTTCTCTGAACTTGCACCAGAATTGCCCTCGTGGTTATGTAGATGCATATAAAGCCGTCACTAATGACTTCATTTCTTCCGATAATTCCTGCAAGCCAAAGGACCCAGTGGGGAACTTATGCTAACTTCCACCCCCTATGCCCAACACAATCAAAGAAAACCTAAAGGCCACAGTCTACGAGAACCAGAACTAGCAAAGTAGCAGAAAAACAAACAAGTGATCACAATAAGCTTGATAGCTTGATAATCCACATTCCAAATTCTCAGTTGTTAAGAAAATCATGTGCCCTAAAATTAGATCATATAGTCTGTTCAATTTCCTTTTTAGATGTAACATCTACTGTCTTTTGTGGGAACTTGCCTAAATAATACAATCAGATTGTATCCAGTCAATTAGTCCCTCACTTTGCATAGTTGTTGAGGAAACTAAAAATGTACAGCAAGTTGCACAGTCTGGTTGTAATGGCAAAAAAGTTGATTTTAAATTTAGTAATGCTCCATGCTAGTATGTTTACATGCATGTTGTTTTTTTCTACCTTAATTCTCTTTGCTATTTCCTAGGTCCAGCACAATCCGGAATACTTACTGATAGGGAGGTTGTGAGCTTGTTCCTGCATTTTACAGTGAATCCCAAACCTCGAGTGGAATTTATTGACAGACCAAGATGTTGCTTGCGAGGGAAAGAATGTAATATTAACCGTTTCCAGCAAGTAGAAAGCCGTTGGGGTTACAGTGGAACTAGTGACCGAATAAGGTGTGTGCAATATATACCTTTTTTATTTTTGTAAAATAAAGAAAAGTTTTTGGGAACAGAAATTCCCATGGTTCATTCTGCATTCTTTCTTTGCACTATAAGGTAAAACAACAGGTTGCTTTAATCCATCCCTTCCCAGAAGCATGTACAGTCGGGTCCATAAATATTGGGACATCGACACAATTCTAACATTTTTGGCACTATACACTACCACAATGGATTTGAAATGAAACCAGCAAGATGTGCTTTAACTGCAGACTGTCAGCTTTAATTTGAGGGTATATACATCCAAATCAGGTGAACGGTGTAGGAATTGCAACAGTTTGCATATGTGCCTCCCACTTGTTAAGGGACCAAAAGTAATGGGACAATTGGCTTCTTAGCTGTTCCATGGCCAGGTGTGTGTTATTCCCTCATTATCCCAATTACAATGAGCAGATAAAAGGTCCAGAGTTAATTTCAAGTGTGTTATTTGCATTTGGAATCTGTTGCTGTCAACTCTCAAGATGAGATCCAAAGAGCTGTCACTATCAGTGAAGCAAGTCATCATTAGGCTGAAAAAACAAAACAAACCCATCAGAGAGATATCAAAAAGATTAGGCGTGGCCAAAACAACTGTTTGGAACATTCTTAAAAAGAAGGAACGCACCGGTGAGGTCAGCAACACTAAAGACCCGAAAGACCACGGAAAACTGTGGTGGATGACCGAAGAATTATTTCCCTGGTGAAGAAAACACCCTTTACAACAGTTGGCCAGATCAAGAACACTCTCCAGGAGGTAGGTGTATGTGTGTCAAAGTCAACAATCAAGAGAAGACTTCACCAGAGTGAATACAGAGGGTTCACCACAAGATGTAAACCATTGGTGAGCCTCAAAAACAGGAAGACCAGATTAGAGTTTGCCAAACGACATCTAAAAAAGCCTTCACAGTTCTGGAACAACATCCTATGGACAGATGAGACCAAGATCAACTTGTACCAGAGTGATGGGAAGATAAGAATATGGAGAAGGAAAGGAACTGCTCATAATCCTAAGCATACCACCTCATCAGTGAAGCATGGTGGTGGTAGTGTCATGGCGTGGGCATGTATGGCGGCCAATGGAACTGGTTCTCTTGTATTTATTGATGATGTAACTGCTGCCAAAAGCAGCAGGATGAATTCTGAAGTGTTTCGGGCAATATTATCTGCTCATATTCAGCCAAATGCTTCAGAACTCATTGGACGCCACTTCACAGTGCAATTGGACAATGACCCACAGCATACTGCAAAGGCAACCAAAGAGTTTTTTAAGGGAAAGAAGTGGAATGTTATGCAATGGCCAAGTCAATCACCTGACCTGAATCCGATTGAGCGTGCATTTCACTTGCTGAAGACAAAACTGAAGGGAAAATGTCCCAAGAACAAGCAGGAACTGAAGACAGTTGCAGTAGAGGCCTGGCAGAGCATCACCAGGGATGAAACCCAGCGTCTGGTGATGTCTATGCGTTCCAGACTTCAGGCTGTAATTGACTGCAAAGGATTTGCAACCAAGTATTAAAAAGTGAAAGTTTGATTTATGATTATTATTCTGTCCGATTACTTTTGGTCCCTTAACAAGTGGGAGGCACATATGCAAACTGTTGTAATTCCTACACCGTTCACCTGATTTGGATGTAAAAATTGAAGCTGACAGTCTGCAGTTAAAGCACATCTTGTTCGTTTCATTTCAAATCCATTGTGGTGGTGTATAGAGCCAAAAATGTTATAATTGTGTCAATGTCCCAATATTTATGGACCTGACTGTATTTGTCTTTCTTTTGCCTTTCTAACACTCGAACTTGTGCTCTTGAATAGCGTGGGTCCCAAGCTTTGTGTAGGTAGAGGAAAAGTTGCAAAGTAAACAATTGGCTCAGAAATAGTTAAAGTAAACCTACCTTTTGCTAGAGAGAGAATAAAGTACCGTATATACTCGAGTATAAGCCGAGTTTTTCAGCACATTTTTTGTGCTGAAAAACGGCCCCCTTGGCTTATACTCAAGTCAACGTCAAGGGGGGCGCGTACAGGGGTGGGCAGAGGGCTGCTGTCTCTTACCTGGCTCCCACGATGATCCATCCAGGAAGCGCTGCTCCTTCCGTCACTCCGGCCACTCCCTCACTCCTGCCGCTCGGCTCCGCCTCCTCACCGGTGATTGGCCGCCAGAACTGTAGCTCAGGAAAGGTACACAGGGCCAATCACGGGCGAGGAGGCGGAGCCGAGCGGACCCGCGAAAATCGAGTGAGGGAAAAGCCGGTAAGTGTGCAGTGCAGAGGTGCTGCTGCAACCACATATGCTGGCTGCAGCAGCACCATACTGCAACAGGGGTCAGCAAGTGTCATTGGTGTCAGTGGGAGGAATAGTGCCGCATCATTGGTGTCACTGATACTAATGATGGGGCATTATTCCTCCCACTGACACCAACGATGGGGCACTTTATTCCTCCCACTGACACCAATGATGGGGCACTATTCCTCCCACTGACACCAATGATGGGGCACTATTCCTCCCACTGACACCAATGATGGGGCACTATTCCTCCCACTGACACCAATGATGGGGCATTCCTCCCACTGACACCAATGATGGGGCACTCCTCCCACTGACACCAATGATGGGGCACTATTCCTCCCACTGACACCAATGATGGGGCACTATTCCTCCCACTGACACCAATGATGGGGCTTATACTCGAGTCAATAGTTTTTCCCAGTCTTTTGTGGTAAAATTAGGTACCTCGGCTTCTATTCGGGTCGGCTTATACTCGAGTATATACGGTAAACTTATTTTGCGCTGCACGGGCAAAGCAACATGTTCTCAATATATACCCACTGGACTAGATCATATTAACTACTTCTTGTCCACTGTCCGGTGTATATATACGTCCACGAATGGGAGTAATAACATCATAATCGTGGCACTATTTTTTTTAATTTTTTTTTTCAAGAGCACGCGATGGGCTTTCATGTAACAGTGATTGTTCTGCTATACATCCGTTCAATCACTTTTACAGGCTCTCCTGTCACTCTGGGAAACCTGGTACCGATACAGCCTGTCTCACCAGATGCACTAGGAAGAGAGGGAGTTACTTCATGTATATACATGATTTTGCATTTCTGGGTAGGGGGCGTGCCACCATTGGCGGCTACAGATGTTGATCACCGGGTCCTGGCTTGAGATTCCCCAGCGATTGCCGAGTATCACTGACAAGCAAGAGACCTCTGTGTAAACAATACAGGTCTCTCTCCTGCCAGCAGTAACATGCTGCTGTGTATTTCTCTGTGCAGCAGAGTAAAACACACTACACATACAGTAAAACTGCACACAGTTAACCCTTTGATCTCCCTATATGTTAACCCCTTCCTGCCCAGTGTCACTAGTACAGTGTCGGTGCTTTTTATTAGCATTAATTACTGTATTCGTGTCACTGGGATGTCAGTGGCAGTTAGTCAGTTCCCCCCCCCAGTGTCAGAATGGCCGCCGTAGTCCCGCTGATAGCCACCATTACGAGTGTGTGTGTGTGATATATATTTGTACACAGGCACAATTTGTTTTTTCCAGGTATTTACCAAAACATATTCAAGCTATAGTTCTATAATGGATATGGGCTGAAAGTATACACTCTCAGGGTTAATTTAAGGGTATGTACATCCAAATTGGAGGAAGGGTTTAGGAATTACAGCTCTTAAGAGTAGCCATCCCCCTTTTTTTTCAAGGGACCAAAAGTAATTGGACAATCGAATCAAAAGTTGTTTCATGGCCAGGTGTGGGCTACTCCTGTGTTATTTCTTCATCAATTAAGCAGGTAAAAGGTCTGGAGTTGATTCTAAGTGTGGTATTTGCATTTGGAATCTATTGCTGTGAACCTACGTCATGCGTTCAAAGGAGCTGTCTATGCAAGTGAAACAGGCCATTGTAAGGCTTCAAAAACTAAACAAATCCATCAGAGATTAGGAGTGGCCAAATCAAGAGAAAACTTCAGAAAAGCAAATACAGAGGGTTCACCACAAGAATAGAATAGAAAAGCCAGATTATACATTGCCAAAAAAATCTAAAAAAGCCAGATCAGTTCTTGAAAAGCATTCTTTGGATGAATAAAACTAAGATTAATCTGTACCAGGATGATGGGAAGAAAAAAAGTGTGGAGAAGGCTTGGAACAGCTCATGATCCAAAGCACACATCGTCATCTGTAAAACATGGTGGAGGCAGTGTGGTCGCATGGGCATGCATGGCTTCCAGTGGCACTGGGGCATTGGTGTTTATTGATGATGTGACAGAAGCAGCCTGGTGAGTTCTGCAGTGTTTAGAGAGATACTGTCAGCCCAGATTCAGCCAAATGCAGCAAAGTTGATTGGACGGCGCTTCACAGTACAGATGGACAATGTTCCAAAACACACTGCAAAAGCAACCCAGGAGCTTTTGAAGAAAAAAAAATGGGGAATATTCTGCAATGGCCTAGTCAATCATCTGATCTCAACACTATTGAGCATGCATTTCACTTGCTGAAGGCAGGAACAATTGAGTACTGTCCGTGATACTTTTTTTATTTGCACTAACATACAACTTGCTGAAGGCAAAACTAAAGGCAGAAAAACCCACAAACAAAGAACAACTGAAGACAGCTGCAGTTAGAGCCTGGCAAAGCATCAGAAAGGAGGAAACCCAGTCTTTGGTAATGTCCATGGGTTCCAGACTTCAGGCAGTCATTGCCAGTAAATGATTCTCAACAAAATATTAAAAATGAACATTTTATTTATGATTATATTCATTTGTCCAATTACATTTGAGCCCCTGAAAATGGAGGTACTGTGTATAAAATGGTTGCAGTTCCTAAAATTTGTACTTAATATTTTATGTTCAACCCCTTGAATTAAAACTAAAAGCCTGCACTACAAATTAATTTGGATTGTTTCGTATTAATTTATTCTGGTGGCATTCAGAGCCAAGAGTATGAAAATTTTTCCTGTGTCCTGATATGTGTGTG